CGGTTGGCGCAGGATAGAGCAGGGTTTAGGGCTGTTGTGCATGGGGTCGCTATGAGTCGGAAACGACTCGACGGCACATAACAACAACAACAGCATGCATAATTTATAAAAGTTATTCATGAATCTTAAATCATTTAAATTGTAATTTGTTTCCTATTTAAAGATCCATTTCCTAACCCATTTTTAAAAATAATGTTTAAGAATGCTTCCATTTCCGCCATAATCCGCTTGTAATTCAACATGTAGCTAACATTGGTCTACAATTAATAAAATGTTTCATTACAGATTCTAATAGAACATAAATTCTAATAGTGCTGTTTCTTGACTTGGCAGTGTTCCTAATTCTATTTGGGCTATAAAAATAATTATACATTTAAATATAGACAAAATTAAATGATGTGAATGCTTCTAATACATATCTCTGAACAAAAATTAAGAACATGTGTAACTTAAGGTTTGAAGACTGTACTGCAAAATAAAGAAAAGCTTTATTCAGAAAAACAAATACTTATGATATGGCTATTGAAATAAGAACCCTCTCCATAGAAGTAATTACAGAGTAACCTCTCTCATATGTACACACTATTATCTTAGCCAAATGCAAGGACTAGTCTTTTAAAAAATCTCTTCTGGCGTTTAATGGATAAAAGTATCTTAAGTTACAGACAGTAAAACTTGCCTAAGTTACATTCAGTAAAATGCCCTCAAATAGAGAGAAATGGCATTGTACAATTTAGGTGACAAATTATAAGGCTAATGCTAGGCTTAGGTAGCTTGCACAGGATGTTTCTATTTTACTTGGATCCACAATCAACACCCTTGGTACCAGCAGTCAGGAGATCAGGAGATGTACTGCACTGGGGAAGTCTGCAGTCAGGGACCTCTCCAAATTACTGAGGAGTAATGATGTCAATTTGACGACTAATGTGAGCCTGTTACAGGCAATGATCTTTTCCATCTATTGCTATGTATCTGAGAGCCGGACAGTAAACAAAGATGACAGAAGAACTGACACCTTTGAGTTGCAGTGTTGGAGAAGAGTGCTGAAGAGCCTACGGAATGCCAAAAGAACAAACAGGTATATCTTGGAGAGGGTAAAGCCAGACTGCTTCGTTGAGGCAAGGATGGTGAAGCTTTGCCTCACATACTTTGGGCATGTTGTTAGGAAGGGTTTAGTCCTTGGAAAGGGACATTAAGCTTGGAAAGGTGGAAGGTCAGCGAAAGAGAGGACAATTCTGAAACAGACTGGCACACTGACTGTGTCAATGGGTTCAAGTATGTCAGAGACTGTGAGGACAGTACAGGGTAGGACAGAGCTCAGGTCTGGTGTTCATGAGGTTGCTACCTGACTCAACAGCACCTGACAACATATATTCCAGTCACAGAGTTTTTAAAAATATAGACACGACTTCCTTACTAAGGTTACAGTTTTCTATCAAGAAATAAGAGCTCTCTCTCTTTTATTTGTTAAAACAAAAACAAAGCCAGGGAGGAAACAAGGAACACGGGGCAGGAGAGAAGGAAGAAGGAAAAATGGGAAAAGAAAACAAAGACCGTGACCATCATTAAAATTTCTGCCGGGTGCTGACAGATGAGGATACAAAGGGGAGCAGAGAATGCATTAAGACTGTCCTTGAGAGAGGTCTACTGAACTTCATTTACATTGCTTCACATTTCTCATTTTAGCTCTGGTAGACAAGGAGCTGCATTGCCAACCCAAAGGCACATGGTTCATATCCTCCAGATGCTTCACAGGAAAAAGATGGGCAATCTCCTCTTGGGTGATTTATTGCTTCTGACAACCTGCTAGAGGGTCAGCTATGAGTTGGTTCCAGCTTGACAGTATACACCACCAACAACAGTATCCATCTAGTGGGAAAAATCAGAATCCTGCCATTGTGGACATGCTACATCACTAATCTGGTGATGTGGATACAGCTTTTGGATAAAGAGCAGCATGGAACAATTAGAAGAAGGTAGCTGCACAATCCTAATTTGTTCACCTTAAAAGTGAAAGCTTTAACAATACAAGGCACTTAATTTAAAGAGCTCTGGTGACATAGTTGATAGAATTGTACCACTAGCCCAGGGGTGGCACCTTGAATCCTCCAGCTGCTTCCTGGGAGAAAGTTATACAATCTCCTCCTGTGTGATTTACAGCCTCTGAAAACTTGCAGGAGGGGCAGCAATGAGCCAGTTATGACTGGGCAGCTACGAGTGATGAGAATTTAAGACAGAAATTCTTTCTCCAGCTCATATATCGATGGCCGGCTGGCTTGGTTGTTCAGTCTGCACAGAGGCACTGTGAGGTCCCTGGGTTGCCCGTCCACATCAGTGTCCAGTAAAGATGAAAAGTGCAAGTCAGTCCTCGCCTCGACTCCAGGTCTGCAGGGACTCAGTCCAGGGCCCGCCACTGGTCGCCATGGGGCTGGCTGTACTGCGTCCACACGGCTTCGCAGCATGGAAGGGCGTGGCCGGGGCATGATGCCCACAACTCCACCTGGCACAGGTGAGTTCTCGTGTAGCATGTGATCATGAGGTGCAGAAGCGGGATTCAGGAACCCGGGAATCTGCACAAATGGCAACTGAGAGGCTCCAGGGGTGGAGAAAACAGTGGCATCAGCTGGATGAGAAGAAGACAGTGTACAGTTAGAAAGACAATGACGATATAAAAAAGAACTACTATGATGACAATTCAACTGGCACTCTTTAAAGTAAGTTTTAACCATATATATGAAAGCAAAATTTCTAAAACTGTTAGAATATGTGGGTAGAGAGTTGTGCTGTCAACCCCACGGTGGGCAGTTCAAATCCTCCAGCTTCTCCGCAGGAGAAAGAAAAACAGTATACTCCTGTATGATTAATAGCATCTGAAAGCCAGCTGGCAGATCAGCTCGGGGTCAGTTCTGACTATGGCAGTGAGAGTTAGAGTATGATTTTTTTAGAAAAAAGTACCACACAGTTGGTTAAGAGTGCCTCAGTCTGTGGTCATTTAGGAAATTACTGAAAAATCTTGATAGTTCATAAAAACACACTTTACTTCAGGGCCACTGCATCGATTTCAACCCACTGCCACCCTGTGCATCAGCGGAGACCTGTGCTCTGGGGGTTTTCAAGGCTGTGACCACAGAGAGCAGAATGTGAGGTCTTTCCTCTGAGATGCCTCTGGGTAAGTTTGAACTCCCAACTTAACTATGTGCATCTTTTCATAGTACATCATCATCAACTCGGAACTGACCCATAGCTGACTCAGAGACTGATCGAACATGTAATCAAGATGCATTAATAATAATGGGTGACTGGAATGCAAAAGTTGGGAACAGAGAAGACGGATTAGTAGTCATAAAACATGGACTTGGTGACAGAAATGAAGCTAGAGATAGAATGACTGAATTTTGCATGACCAATGATTTATTGATTTCAAATACATTTTAAAAGAAACATAAATGCAAATTACACACATGGATTTCACCTGATGGCATGCATAAGAATCAGATTGATTACATCTTTGGAAAGAACCGCTGGAGAAGTTCAATATCAGCTGTGAAATCTAGGCCTGGTGCTGATTGTGGAACAGATCACCAACTAAAACATAAATGCAAATTACACACATGGATTTCACCTAATGGTATGCATAAGAATCAGATTGATTACATCTTTGGAAAGAACCGCTGGAGAAGCTCAATATCAGCTGTGAAAACTAGGCCTGGTGCTGATTGTGGAACAGACCACCAACTACTCACATGCAAGTTCAAGCTGAAGCTAAGGAAAACTAAACCGAATCCACGGGAACCAAAATATGACCTTGAGTCTATTCCACCTGAATTTCAGAACTATCTCAGTCAGGAACAGGTTTGAAGCCTTGAACACTGATGAGCGAAGACCAGATGAGTTGTAGGAGGATGTCAAGTGTATCATACAGGAAGAGTACAAACGGTCATTACAAAGACAGAAGAGGAAGAAAAGGCCAAAATGGATGTCAGAAGAAACTCTGAAGATTGCAGTAGACCACTGAGAAGCCAATGCAGAGAGAAGAATTCAAGATACTGAAGAGCTGAACAGAAGATTTCAAAAGGCAGCACAGAAAGACAAAGTATTACAATGAAATGTGCAAGAAGCTGTTGTTGTTGTTATGTGCTGTTGAGTTGTTTACGACTCATAGCGACCCTATGTACAACAACCCTAAACCCTGCTCTATCCTGTGCCAATGGCATGGCCTCTGACACACCAATCCTGCTACCCCGGTCACTGAATCAATCCACCTCATAGAGGGTCTTCCCCTCCTACACTCTCCAAGGACCTGTCTCTCCTTACAACCTGTCCAAAGTATGTCAGACGAAGACCCAGAATCCTTGCCTCCAAGGAGTAGCCTGGTTTAACCCTCTCCAGAATGAATCTGTTTG